GCGCCGGGCTCTGGAGGGGGCAGAGGGCCGGCTGCTGCCCAGGGAGCCGCGGTGCCGGCCCGCCCCGCAGCCCCAGTGGCTCGGGGCTCCATCAGCAGCCGGCTCGGGGCCACAGGAGCCTGGAGAAGAAGCCGTGTGGCCCCGGCTGCGGCACTGGGCAGGGGCCCAGCTGCCAGCCCCATGCACCGAGCGCCGGGGACAGGGGGCTTCTCCAGGCTGAGGCTGGGCCTTCCAGGCCGTCCTTACCAGGCACTCGCCGAACCTCCATGTCTGGTCCACCTCCAGCATCTGTTCAATTTGAAGATTCCTGAGAGATTCCTCCTCAGGAATCTGGCTGAAGAATGCAGAGTTTCCCGGGACGCCTGGAGAGCACCAGAGACCCGCAGATGGCCCCACAAGCAAGGGCACAGGACCCGCATTGGTGTGCCAAGGCCTGCAGGAGGCTGCAGCCGGCAAGGTGCCAGGCCTGCAGGAGGCAGCCGAGCCCCCTCCCTGGGTGACAGCAGCAGCCCGGGAGTCCTCACCTCAGCCACCTGCTGGTTCTCGTCGTGTCAGTGGAAGAAGAGTGGCAGCAAGCTCTGGTGCACGTGTGACTTCAGGGCCTTTCTTCCCTCTTCCATGAATAAATCTATCATCTTTTGAAAGACAAACATGGATACCAGCTGCACCTGGCTGTCGTCCTGTATGAAAGGAAGGAAAAAAGACTTCAGCTTTGGCTGCTTCTCACCCACTTTTGACTGGCCTGCAAATCCACAGTGCACAAAATGTCTGTGCAGCACCCAGTGCCTGTGGCTGGAGACACAGAACCTTACATTGTCAAAAAGTGCCAGGAGCACCTCAGCCAGCTGCTGGGCGATGGGGCTGGCTATCGGGGTGCTATTATACAGGAACAAATATTTGAGTAGAACTATGGTCATCCTGACCACGTCACTATCATCTTCCTGCAGGAGCTCCAGCAGGCTTTCAGTCAGGCTCCACATTTTCTTGGCCTGTGGGGAAGAGAAGTCTGTGAAATCCCACCCTGCTGCCACAGGGCCCAGAGGCCAAAGGCACTGGCTAAAGCTCATCTGCCCGAGGCTAAAGCACTCAGGCAGATGAGCTGGGAGGAAGGAGAGCTGGGAGCAGCTGCCTCGGTGCCCGAAGCCCAGCCAATCCCAACAACTGCATTCCCCATCCCTACGCTGCCCACATGGCTTCAGCCACTGCCCCCTTCTCACCATGGACGGATTCTTGGCAAGCACTAGGAGGCCTCTGAGTGCCAAGCAATGCCTCTCTCTGCACTCGCTCTGCAGATTCTGTGACATGATGTCCAGGATGCTGTCACAGCATTCACTCAAGTCCAGGTAGTCCAGGATCTGAAAGGCACAGGGCAGTGACAGGGGAGCTGGCCAGCAGGAAGCTGTAACCGCACAGAGCTGGGCCCAGGCAGCAGCACAGGGCATGGGCACCGTCCCAGACAGCTGCAGCTATGAGAAGGCAGAGAGGTGGAAGGCAGCTCGCCTTCAGGCTCACCTCTACAAGGAATGCCAGAGCAGCGAAATCCCACAATGACAACTCTTTGCTGAGCAGCCTGAGCAGGTAGAATGCTACTCCGGAACACAATTGTATGGATGAAGAGCACATTTCTCTGACAAGAGAAAAAAGGAAGCAAAACTCTGAGCCAGCGGCTCTCCCAGGAATGACTCACAGACTGACAGAGGGCTGATCTTTCCCCACCAGCCTGCAAGGGGACGTGGGCCCTTGGGGAGGTGGCTGCTCCTGGACACCCTCCTCTCCCAGCCTTTTCCAGTCTCCTTAGCTGTCCCTCGGTGATGAGGCCCTCTGGCCCACGACAATGGGGACTATGTGGGGCAACCTCAGCACGGGGCACAAATGCCAGAGGCAATGGGGAGAAGGGGTCTCACCTGGCCAGCAGACCCACAGCATGATGGTGGGTGTCAGCGCAGAGCAGCATGTCCCAGCCACGCTTGTGTTCCATTTCCACCACTACATGCTTACACCGGAGAAGGCAGAGCAAGGACTTCAGGATCTGCACTGCAAACCTGTGTGCACAGCAAAGCCCAGGTCACGCTGGGAGCACTGGCTCCTGCCCTGGGGATGTGGCAGGGACAGGAGGAGTGGGATGGAGCACCTGTTGGGGCTGATGGCAAGGCCGTGTTGCTCCTGGCATGCCTTCCAGAAGGTATCAACCTCCTGTGGCATCTCCAAAGTGCTGAAGAGAACTTGAAAGACCAGATGCACAAAGAGGCGAGGGAAATACACATTCAGTACACATGGGATGCAGGGCATCCGAAGGAACTTCCACATCACCACTGTCGCCTACAGAGGACAAAGAACCCAGAGACAGTGCTCAGTGCTGAGGTGTCCTGGTGGCAGGGCCTGAGTGTGGCAGTGAGCTCCAGGCCTGGTTTCAGCCCAGTGCCTGAGGCAGGGAGATGCAGTGGGGGAAGGAAGAAACGGAGCTGCTGAAGAGGCAGTCGGCCATGGGGTGAGCAAAGGCCAGTTCCAGAAACTCACAGCCAGGGCAAAGACACCCGTGTTGTCCCCATCGGAGGTGCACGTGCTGTGCTCTGGCCAGGTTCTCAGCACATCGAGGAGTATCTGTACTACTGGCTCCACAGTCCTGCTCGAGCACATGATGGTCTTCCACATGGTCATTGCAGCTCTGTGGGGTGACAGCTCTGTCTCACGGGGGTCTCAGACACATCCCCGTGGCCTGGGCAGCAGTGGCGGGGGGAGCTGAGCTGGCTGCCAGCAGCAGCACCCAGGCAACCCAGCCCTGCGGGGACAGGGCCCTGAGGGGGCATGGCATGGCAGCAGGCTCGGGGGCCAATGTAGCAGGGCTGGGAAAGGTCCCAGGTACACAGGACCCTGCAACTCTCTGTTGCTCAGACACCTGGGCAGGGCTGTGCAGGCTGATGGGCTGGGGAGCCCTGAGCCCTCTGGGCACATGGGCCCCGTACCTGTCACACACTGGGGCCACACGCAGGAGAGCAATGACCACGTCAGTGGGCTGTGCCTTGGTCAGATCCAGCAGGGTCCTGCCCAGCCTGGAGTCAGCAGACTCATTGGCCATGAGCCATTGGTGGATGTACCTCACCACGGCAGGCAACTGGAGAAGGCACAAGGGGACTTGGAAAACTTGGAAAGCTGCCAGAGGGAGTCAGGAATGTCCCCAGCATCTCCAGAGAAGTGCTTCCCTTGTCACCACGCTGCAATGGCCTCAAAGGCTTAGAGTGATCAGCAGGCGTAGCTTGGGAGGCCAAGCGATCCCTGGAGGGTCAAACCCTGGCCACAGGCTGCTTACTTGCTCTGGAATGGAAACACCCTCCTCCAAAATGAATTCTAGCATGGCAGCACTGGTGTCGCTGGTGTAGACGTCACCATCTTCCATGGATCCAGTGCCCATGACGCTGGTCTCTTCCTGCCAAATGTGCTTGATGAATTTGCATGTTGCGTAGGAGAAGGAAGGGTGGGAAGAGAGGGATATTGAATGGAGTGTTCCAAGCATGTGCCAGCAGGCCCAGGCCAGTTGGGGATGGCTGCAGGTACCTGTGCTGTTCTGTGGAAGAGGCCACAGGCAAGGCCCTGCTCTTGTGTCTGGTCCATGGCTGCATCTGGCAAAGAGCGAGAGCGGCCAGAGCTGAGGGGCTGCAGGAGGGGCTGGAGAACGCTGCCCAGCCCTGTGATCCCCAGACAGGGACAGCCCAGGGATGGCCCAGGGGATGGAGCACGGGCATTGCTGGGGGAACAGCCCCAGCTCCACTTGTATCCTGTCCCTGGGTGTGTCTCCACAGGATAGGGTGAGTGGGATGAGATAAGATGGAATGCAATGGGATGCGATGGGATGGGATAAGCTGGGATGGAATGGGATGGTATGGGTTGGGATGGGATGGGATGGGATGGGATGGGATGGGATGGGATGGGT